CGTTGCACCTGAATTCATGTACTAGCATAAACCTTTTTTTTTTCAGCGCAGATTAAGAAATAACAAAGTTAAAAAATAATAGTGTTAAAAGTAAACATTTTGTGTGTGCAATACATTAGTTCTGTATTTATCGGGTCTTTTTTAAGCACAACACGGTTTTTAAAAGTAGAAATATAAATAGCTTTAATAAAATACTGAAGGTTGAGCGAGTGTATAACACACGAATGCAAACGCTGCCTAATTTTTCTATTTATAAGTATGGCCTCCACATCCTGAAATGAGACCCATGCTAGAGGCTTCTACTGTCCCCTTCCTTCCTTAATGGTTGTGGATACAAAAAATATAAATATTTTGCTTTGGCAGTTAAAAAAACAAACATAAAAAACATATAAAGTTTGTTATTTAAGAAATCGCTTTGACTTTGAATTAGATTTTTAAATAGTAGTAGTAGTAAAAAAATTGCTACAACAGGTTTCCCTGTATAACCTAAAGGTTTTGGCAGCCTTATCTACTTCATACACTAATTTTATTCATATCAATATATAAAATTTACAATAAGATATATAGTATGAAGTACTTTATTGTTTTTCCTTTTTTTTTTTTCATTTTAGTTATAATCTTGATACTTATGCGGATTATTTAAAATTACTGCATCAAGCTTAGCCTTGAAACTGTTAACTGATGAAGCGCATACAACTTCTGACGGCAATGCATTCCAATGATTTACGATTCGATTCACTATTAAAAAAAAACTGGTGCCTACGCACTTTTAAACTGAACCCTACCCCTTCCCCATACGTTTTTTGAAGACAACCCCCTCACCTTAGAAGAGTAAGTAATTTATGGACGACCTCTAAATTATAAGAATGTTAGTTATAATGATAAAATTGTTTTTAGTCAATTGTAAGACGGGGGTGAAACGAAATGAGGTAAAATAATATGGAATAAAAGAAAATTGTAAAATTGTATTCCCAAAATCATTTTATTAATTTTTGATTAAAAATTTGACCGGATATCAGTTAAAATCAATATGCTTAAAATTTCTTAACTTATTCAATTATATAAAGCTTAATAAATGTTGTTGTTGTTCTCTTGTCTTGAATTTTAAGGTTCTTAAACACATAAAGTTATCATTATTTCTAGATTAACTTCTCTTATACTTTTAAACTAAAAAACACAAATTTTGACCTTTTTTTATGCTAATTATAAATCTTATAAACCTTAGAATCTCAAATTTTTCTTTTAGATATGTTTTTGGGTAAATTAAATTTTTTAGAGAGTATGGTTACGTTAACGACATAAATAATGAGGTAACAATATAATGAATTAAATTAATTTTAACAAACTATTTTCAAACAATACTTAACAATTAACTCTAGTTTAAGGGCTGCCAATTCAATTGAACAACAAAAGTAACAAAATAATAACAGAGGTCAACAAAATAGAGGGGAGAGGGAAGGTTTGAAATTTTTCGACACTTGTTGACAAGAGAGAGAGAGGGGAGATCAATAAAAGTTGACATCAACAATTTTACTTTAAATAAATATAATTACTTATAAACATTGCCCCCACCATTGAAGGGGTGGTTAGAACTCTAGCACTCGGGCCAGGAGGTAAAAGGGGCGCGGTGGATAAATCAATACACAACTAATATGTATATCAATATATACAAGCACGCATAATATTTTAAGATTTATATTTATTCTCAAAACTACGATTTTTTGAGCCGTTGTGTTGCGTAAATTATTTCCCGCGTTTTTTTACAGTTTTTACTTGGTTATTGAATTATTAAACATAATTTGGTCAGTAGTCTTGATTTTGATTGACAAGAGCAATAAAATTAAGTCAGTATAATTTCATGTATAAGATAACATTTAAAAATGATGTTATGATAAATAATAAAAATGTTTTGATAAATAAAAATTGACGACCAAATAAGGAAACTATCTTGTTTTGGTAAATGTAATAAAGTCAAGTTTGGTCATTTTTGTGGTTTTAATTTAAAGAGTTAATTAATATTTTAAAAGGGGGCGCATTGACACCATTTTATGAAATAAGTGAAGACTTCAATCTTTAATTGAAATCTTTAAAATCTTTCAGTCGCATTACATTAAAAAATTAATTTGAAAAAATTGATAATTTGAGTTTAAAATTAAAACATTTAATAAGTCATTGTTCGTATAGAGAAACTATTGCATTTACTGTATTGTAAAAATTAAAAAAAAAAGTTATTTATAAAAAATTTAAATAAATTTTATGAAATTTATATTCGTAATAAATATATTTATTATTCAACTCAGAAATGTCGGCTTTTGGAGGCATTTAGCGTGAATATGTTTAAACAGCAGTTTATATACTTTATACAATATTTAAATTATGTGTATATACATATATATATATATATATATATATATATATATATATATATATATATATATATATATATATATATATATATATATATATATATATATATATATATATATATATATATATATATATATATATATATATATATATATATATATATACATATATATATCAATATACACATAATTTAAATATTATTTAAAGTATACATACTGTTGTTTAAACATATTCACGCTAAATGCCTCCAAAAGCCGACATTTCTGAGTTAAATAACAAGTACTAGACGCTTCTAAAGCAAGTAGAAGTGTTATCAAAAACAGTTGTTGAACAAACATCAACGATGTTCGCCCTCATAAAGCGAATCCAACAACTTGAGGAAAAATCCATTGCTTCCTCAACTACAACAGAAACATGAAACGTTGTGGTCGGAAAAAATTCAACTAAAACGCCAGCTCAACTAGATATGCCTAATTGTGTAGCTAATGAGAACAAAGATAGAATGAAGCGTGACAAAATTCTTATCGTCTTTGGCATTCCTAACGAGAAGCAAGTAGAAGATGAGAACAAAATAAAAGAGCTTCTAACCAACGTTAAAATTAATTTGGACAATATAATAAAATGCTTTCGCTTACGGTCAAACGATCCGATTAAACCTCCACTTATTATAGTTGAGACGACAGACACTGTCACCAGAAATCATATTGTTAAAGCAGCCCGGCGTAAATTTGAAGGCATCTATGTTAATCCAGATCTGACAGAAGCACAAAGAAGACAAGATAGACAATTACGAGACGAGTTGAAAAAGAAAAACGAGCCTCTTAATTTAAAAAATAACTGGGCAAAGGCAAGTCGTTACTACTACGTTATTCGTAATAATGCTGTAGTTAAAGTAGACAAATAGCAATTAACAGTAAGTAATTTAAAACCATATAATGACAATTTAAATAAAAACAAATTTTTTTTAGAGCGTAAGTCATTTTCAACTATTAGTCTACTACAACAGTCAGCTTTTCATAAAATATCATGCTGTTATACCAATGCTACATCTCTTAACAATAAAATGCCAGAGTTTCTAGCATCAATTGAGACATACAACCCTAAAAAAATCTTCGTTACAGAAACTTAGTGGCATGAATCATCGATAACTAACACTAAAAACTATATGTTATTTAGAGAAGATCGCGTGTCCAGTAGAGGAGGTGGGGGGGCTATTCATGTCGACACTTTATTAAAACCTAATAAAGTAAGCGAAATTGTTTTATTAGATTCCCCTGAACAAATTTGGTGCGAAATATCGTACGGTTCTGAACACATCCTTTTGGATTGCATATACAGGCTACACATTCTAGATCCACTCGAGAATATTGAAGCGTCCATTATTAAAGCAAATGAACTTCTGTCTAATATATACAGCGGCTTGTTGATTTGTGGAGACTTTAATTTGCCAGGGATTTTCTGGGATTCGAGCAGTATCCCAACTGTCAGCAACACCTTTCAAGTAATTTTGTTGACATCCTTTCCGAGTCGTTTTTGATAAAATTTGTTACTAAGCCCACTTTTCAACTTGATGAAATTACATCGAACAACACTCTTGATCTAATTGTAGCCAAAAATGAAAATCGGGTCCACGATATTATTTACCATGTATCTTTAACGTCTCTGAAGAAATCTCACCACGTCCTTCAATGGGATTACGTTGTTAAAAGCGCTGCAGTTGTAGGAAAAAACATTGAAAAACGCATCATAAAAGTAACTTTGTAATTTATCATAGTAATTTATCATCTTTGTAATTTATCATAAAAGTAACTTTGTAAAGATATCCGAATATTTTAACAATATCAACTGGCAGATGGAATTCAATGGACGCAATACTGATGACTGTTATAACATTTTCCTGAACCACTACGAGGCTGCATGGAAAACTTATGTTCCAGAGACTCAAAACTCAAGATGGATTCGTCGTAAAAACGAATGGATGAATGATGACATCAAGAATAAAATAAAAGCTAAAAATAAACTATGGTTTCGATCTAGAGCGAATGAATATAAAAATCTTAAACTAGTCAACGAATACAAAGGATGTAATATTCAATTGAAAAAGCTCGTGTATAAAGCTCGTTGTGAGTTTGAACTTGATTTAGCAATAAAGTTGAAGCACAACCCAAAGATCCTGTTCAAGTATGTTAATAGCAAACAAAATGTTAGAACTACAATAACAGCCTTAAAAGGAATCAATGGCGACACTATCACAAATCCAATAGAAATTGCAAATCGGCTAAACAATCACTTTCAAAGTATTTTCAACAAAAACGAAGACGATGAACTGCCATATTTTATAAAACAAACTCAAGCCATCTGCAAATACTCGCAAATAATGCAAGATCTGGTTAAAAACAAGCTGAGCGGTTTATCAGTTGACAAAACCGTTGGTTTGGATGGAGTAAGCGCATATGTACTGAAGAACTGTTCTGACAGCTTCTCAACACCTTTAAGCGCAGTTTTTCAGAAGTCGCTAGATAGTGGGTGTTTTCCTGAAGTATGGAAAAAAGCTAATGTAACACCACTGTTTAAAAATGTAAGTAAACTCGACCCAGACGATTACTGGCTTAACATCAGTTGTATGTAAAGTGATGGAGAAAATATTACGTGACACTATGGTCAATCATTTAGTCGAACATAGCCTTATTTCAAAAAATCAACATGGTTTTGTCAATAAAAAAGCTTGTGTGACTAATTTGTTGGAGTCAATTGACATGATGTCAAAAGCATTATCTGACAAGATATCTATGGGCGTAGCTTTTACAGATTTCAGTAAAGCATTCGACATGGTTCCCTACAAGAGACTAATTTACAAATTTGAGGCATATGGTTTTACTGAAAATCTCCTGAATTGGATAAAATCGTTTTTACACCAGCGTTTTCAACGAATCGTGATGGACGATTAAGTTTCCTTGTGGCTTGAGGTATTTAGTTGCGTCCCTCAAGGATCCGTATTAGGTCCAATACTTTTTATCATTTTTGTGAACGATATATCCGATATTGTTAACCACCCATGTAAAATGTATGCTGATGACACTAAACTGCTGGCCCGTTTAGATCACCCATTAGCTTCACATATGCTTCAACTTGATCTCTACAACATAGCCGATTGGTGTGAAACCTTGAAAATGAAACTTAATCTCGATAAATGTAAAATCATGCACATAGGTAAAAAAAAACAACTTTTATGTCTACTCAATGAAGGCCGTCGCATTCGGGGAGACCTGATGCAGGCCTATAAATTTATTAACGATAAAAACATTATCTCATGGAGTGAACCTCATGTCCTTCGTGTTGGGGAGTCAAATAAAATAAAAACTAGAGGATATCACCTAAAAATGACTAGAGAATATGTTCAAAATTGAGAGCAAACGGACTAGGCACCAGCAGTTTTTATTTTTTTTTTCAACAGAAAAATTAATTGCTTGAAGCGGAGTACCTTATTAAACCATAAAACTATAATGTGCAAAATTTGAAAGTTTTATGTCGTTTTTTTCTTATTTTAATTTATTTTTTTTTTTAGATATAATTCATTATGAAAAATAAACTAGAATGAGTTATAATTAATGAATTTTAAAAACGAGTGTTGGCGTCAAACATTTTCCCGTTTACTTTCATAAATAATGAAGTATAAATTTATTTTTAGTTTTTATATTTTTTTAGACGTGTTTGGGTCCTGTAAAAAAGGGTAGTAGAATTACCCATTTTTACAGGACTTAAAAGTCATATAATTAGAAGAACTTATTTAAATATAACATTTATAAAGTGGTTTAGTTATGTTGTTTTTTCAAACTTATTTATCAAATAACTATTAGTATCAAATAGCTACTAAATAACATTAGGTTTTTTTATTTTTGAATTTTTTTTGACTATCTACACCAGCTTGAACAACTTTATACCAAAAATTGTTAATACCTAGTACGCACTAATTAAATAAAATTCCTTAGTAATATTCGTTTTTTTTTAAATTCACATTTCATTTTTAATTTTTAATTAACAATTAACAAGAACTTGTTAATAACTAAATGTTTTTGAATAAAAAACAATTTAAAAAAAAAAACCATACCCTATTATTGTTGTCCGTGATTCTCCAGCTAACCAATACAAAAGTTAATTTTCTGACTAAAGAACCTGGTTTGCCAACATAAAAGGATGGTAAAGGGGAGTCGAGGGTATAGGGTCCTTCTACGCACACACATACCATCTTCTTATAAACTGGCCCTGAGTAAGGCGGACTTGTATTTCAGGCAACTCCATCTTATAAGTTAGCAAAAAATAGGTTTAAGCAGTGTCGTTTTAAGTGGGTTGGAGAACCCCCAAAGACCTGCCATTAGGGCCCAAAATCTTCAAAATTTTCCCGCAAAGTATTGCTAAAAGAAAACTTCTTACATTTGCAAAAAGAGCTCCAAAACTTGTTGGGCTCCCCCCTCCTATTGGGTTTGTGGGGTAGCCTTGCCCTGGTTTCGGGTTTATGCTTTGTTTTCAACATTATTGATCTCGCATAAGACTCGATTTTTACGGACTTACTAAAGAGAGGTACCTGAAAAAATATCCGCCATAAGTAAAGTTTATTTATATTTGTTTCGTCATTAAATCAATTTTTTTTTTTAAATAAAAAGTAAATTATGATTTATCTGCGCTTCGAACTCTGGTTTTTATCGTGGTATTGCTTGCATTAACCTCTTGGGCTCTTAAACTCTCTTATAAACCTCTGTAACGTCGTGGTATCGCTCGCTTTAACAAGCTTCAAAAAAGACATTCAGAAAAATAACTTTATAAAAATAAATATTTCTTATGTGTAAAGTATTTAAGGAAGATTAAGGGGAGGAGGGATCTTTAAAAAGCATTCAATAAAGTAATGGATGGGGTATAATCTTTAAAATATAGTAATGGATGGGGTAGGGGGTTTAAACTTTAAAAAAATAAACTAATGGTGGGGGGTTTAAACTTTAAAAAAATAAAATAATGGATGGGGTACAAACTTTAAATGACACACGCTCTAATTTAAAAAATATTTCTGAGTTTATACAATTTTTTCTAAGTTAAAACTTTTTAATTATTAAAAAAAGGAGGAGGAGGTACTTCAAAAGCCTACCTACTTGTTAGGGGAGGGAATTTTTTGGCGTACGTACTCTATGGACAACTCCTCGTTATCAATAACAGAATGATTGTCTTTTGTATAAAAATTAAGATATTTTTTCAAAAATAAAAAATTATAGTATTATTAATGCATTTTATGCAGTTAATGCATATAATTAGATTTTTTTTTCCGTTTAAATTTATTCAAGCCGTAAAACATAATATAAATACGAATACATAATTTATCTTACCGCCATTCCCCTTAATCTATACCGTAAATTTCAAATAACAAAAATTAAAAAACCGTAACGTTATATATTATAAAACGTTTTTATAAAGACTTTTTAAATAAAAACTTGGAGCCTAATGTCATACTTTAACTTTTTCTTTTTAAATTCCTTAAGAAAAAGTGTAAATACAAAAATAAAATATTTAATATAATGAAAACTATATTATGAAAAAACATACAGGCAAAATAGGCATAATCCCAAAGCTTTCCTTTTACACCAGCATATACCTTGAAATATATGGAGAGTTTCCATAAATCGTAAGTTTTTATAAAAGAAAAAATGAAGAATAACAAGTGACATAATCTTTTCTAAGATTGCCGAGCCTATAATTACATATCTCCAATAGTTGGGTAAGTTTATCAGTAGCAACCATTATTATTTCAAAAAAAAGCTGAACGCTACGTCGTTCATCGATAGTTTTTGCCTTTAGTTTTTTAATTTTTTTAATATTTTAATTTAGTTTTAAACTCATTAAGTGATGCAATTGTTTTGAGTTCATTAGTTAATATTTTGTTTCACAATTTTGGTCATCTAGTAGAAATAACCACAAAATAACTTTTGGGCTGAATGTAACTGTTATTTGAGAATTTGATTAAATATCTGTTGTGATTAAATTTGAACAGCGGGAAAATATTTTAGTAGATATAATTTTTATAATTTTGATCAAAATATGAGAAGGTGATAGATATTTATTTGGTAGACATTCATTATATTTGACATAACAAATAAAGCTAGGTAAAGTGTAAAACAGCCCTCATTAGAAATGATTCCGATTGTATTCTTTTGTTTATCAAAATGTTTTTTTTATTTTATTTTCATTTGCTCTGCACAAAACAATGTTTGTGCAATTAACATAACGATGAATGAATTAACATAACGATGAATGAACGAGAAATATAAAAGTTTTAAGCAATTTAAGTTTAACAATTTTTTTTGCTCCACAATGTAGTCCAATGTTCTTTGAGATTTTGTTTTCGAAATTATATTGTGATCTCTCCACGTCATATTTTCGTCAAGAAGTAGGCCAAGAAATTTCAATTTATTTCTCTTTTAATGTCTTGATTGAAAATACAAATGTTCATATTTGTCGTTTTCATCTTCATTATAAAATTTTATTTGACAAATAGCTTTTAAACCACGCAACGTTTATATGTTTAATATCATAGTTTTCTGATTTTGTTAATAAAATGTAATAATCAACAGTGTTTAAAGTCTTACTGAGATCAATAAATAAACCTAATATATATTTATTTTTATCAAATGTAAACGTATAGTTATCACTATTTAAATTTTTTTTTAGAACTCAGTATTTCAGGTTGATGAACTGAGAAAATTTGGTGATTGATAATAGAAGTTACTTTGAATCATCATTATTACTGCGAATAACTTCAACAGTATCACTTTAATATCTATGTATATCATTAATGCAGCTGTTATACATGACTAGAGAATATCATTTAAAGATTTTTTAGATGACTAGAAAACATTATAGTTACTAGAAATACTAGCTGTTAATCTTAGTTGCTGTTTACTTAAGTGTTTACGTAGTTACGTTAGCACTACGCAAACTGTTAATGTAAATATTTGATCACTTTTATGATAATATTGTCATAATCATTAATCATATTAGTTTAATCATGTGATTTAATGATCGTTAGTTGTACTAAGAATCATTAGTGTTCATTTCTTTCAGCTTTTTTAAAACTTTATTTTTGATTTAAAAATTTAATTTTTGAAGTCAAAGTAAGTTACAAAGATCTAAATACTATTTATTTTTTATGTCTTTCAAGCCCTTTTTCTTTTTCTTCTTTTTTTTTCTTTTTTTGTTTAAATCAAAGTACGTTTTAAAGCATCTTGTAAAAATAAAAAATATTCAAAATTTAAAAAATCAAAAATTAAAAATTTATCTAAAAACCTTTTTATAGTCATAAAACTGGAAGTAAAAAAATCATTTTTTTGGTTGCAATAAATAAAGGTTGCAATAAATAATTCCGAGTAATGATGTTTTTGCGTGGATTCAAAATTTGATCGAGAAACTTACAGTTGCTGATAGAGATTTTTACTTTTGTCTTCAGAAAAAAGCTCAGTATCATCTTTTATAAACAGTTTAAAATATTTAAAATTTTTTATAAATAATCGAAAATGTTTTTATATAATAAAAAACTTCTAAGTTTAAACTTAGTGACCAGTTATTTTTAATTAAATTTTTTTAAATCTTTTTTTGTATGACAACAAAACTCATTTGACTTTAATACTTTCAAGTAAAAATAGTTTAATTATAATCTCTCTTCTAATCACATTTTTGAAAGATGATTTATTCACAAGTATTAATTGCCTAGACAGCAAAAATTCTATTATATACGTCTCTTTGGTATATTATTTTCTCCTCCAGTTTAACTCTTGCATCAAAACAAAAATGTTACAAAAGTACTGCCATAACTATTTACAAGTTTTTAGTTCGGACTGTATATCATTAATCGAAAATAATTTTTTTTTTTTTTTAATCTGAAAAATAGCAAACAATGCGAAGTGTATTTTTTAGAGTATTATCAATGACCCAATATAACAATTAAAATAGTATGAGATTGTTATGCATAGAATTTTAATATTTAAATAGTTTCAATTCAAATACCCTACTACTTGTTCACACTTACGCAAACTTTCTGCTATTTTTATAAACTGATATAAAACGCATATTATTGTGATATAACAAAACACTAACAAACCATGCATTTTCGTATCATATTTACATTTCCATATAGGGATTTAGTTCATATAATTCAAACAGAATAAAAGGATTTATTTCACGACAGTTTTAAGAAAACAATATAAACTTGGTTTAAATTTTGATGTACTAACAACGTTGGTGGATAATAATAGCGATATATAACATGTGGAAACTTTTATTTGCAACTTTTGTGGTTATTTGCCATGCCAAGTCAGAAAATTTTTCTTTTATGAAGGAAGATATGGAGAAACTAGAACAAGGTAATAAAACGTTGTTTTGGAAATCTTTGTTTGTTTTATTTTTATGTGTTTAAAAAACTTACATAGTAAAAAAAATTTTTTTTAATTCTGGATACTAAAAAAAAGCTGTTTTTCTTGATTTATTATAAAATAAAAATGAAATTCTCAAACAAACTTAGAATAAAAATTCTCAAACGTGCGGTAAAAGCCCCAAAAAAATTAATTGACTGTTGAGAACGTTGCACTTACTTAAAGTAAAAGATTAAAAAGTTTATTTAAAATTAAGCTTAACAAATGCAACTATAGCATTTCTGCGCTGATTGGGTATAACCTTTATTTTTCAAAAATCAATCAATTCAAAAATCGTTCACCAAAATGATAAAATTTGTAACTTGTAACTTGTAACTTGTTTCGTTGTCAAATTAAGAATGTAAAATTAAAAAAATTCGTAACGACGGTTTTAAAACATTCTAAATGCACTAAACAAAACGAACTTTCTCAAAATTAAGAAAACAGCTACCATTTTTTTTTGAAACTGTAATCATGTCAATGCTTTTTATAAAAGATTACGACATGTATATGATTCCCCATGTTTTAATATTAGATTACACTAATTATCTTCCAGCCTACTTATAATTGTATTAGAAAAATCTCTTTTCGAAGCTTAAATTTTTTTGTTTCAATATTTCGTTCGATTTCTTAAATTTTTTTGTTTCAATATTTCGTTCGATTTCTTAAATTTTTTTGTTTCAATATTTCGTTCGATTTCTTAAACTAAAAAGTATAAGTAGCATATGCATGAGAATTATAAATATATTTTTTTAAAGAATAATTGATAATAATTTTGTTTAAAGAATTATAGATAATAATTTTGTTTAAAGAGTTATAAATAATAATTTTGTTTAAAGAATTATAGATAATAATTTTGTTTAAAGAATTATAGATAATAATTTTGTTTAAAGAATTATAGATAATAATTTTGTTTAAAGAATTATAGATAATAATTTTGTTTCAAAAATTATAGATAATAATTTTGTTTCAAAAATTATAGGAAATAATAATTTTATTTAAACATGTTAAGTGAACAAATTTTTTAGCATAATTAAATGGTAAAGATAAGTAAATATTTTTGTAAAAAGCTTTTTTATTATTATTAGGAAACGCTAAATTCAATTGACAACAAGTTAGCAATTGTACCCAAAATGGCTCTTTAATAAAATTATTTAAATATATCGAAAAAAGGAAAATACATATTAAAATTTCAATTATGCTATGTAAGTTTGTATTGATTTATTTGTATTAATGAACCGGAATTGAGTATAAATTATTTGAACAACAAACTCAGCTATTTCCAGACTTTTTCAGACTAAATCGTCAGATAGGAAGAAGAATAAAAAAATGTTTTTTAAAAAAACTTTTTTTTCAAATCTGACTAATCTTATTAAAATTATTGGAGAGAAAATTTTTACCTTTATTAATAAGCATGAACAACAAAAGATTTATGAAATGCCTAGAAGTTACTGAACTTACATTTCTAAAATGTGTGGATCCGCCATTGTATTATTACAATAAAAATATTTATAGCAAGTCCTAAAAAAGAAATTAAATCCTTTGCATTTAAGTGTTTAATGAAGGTTTGTGTTTTGGTTGAGCGCCAATGTTGGACGCCTTGGTAGTGTGATAAAAATTCTGGCCTTTATAGGTTACTGCGCCTTATTTTGCTTAAGTTATAAAATTCAGAGTGCCTTTATGATAATTCCAAACAGAAGTTCTAGGTCTACAAAAATAAAAATTCAATAAAAAAGCTTTAATTTTAACAGTATTAAATTTGAATTGTTTGATTATTACAAATATGCATCAATTAATAAAACAAAGATGATCAACTATAATAGAATCAAAAGGCGTTGTTAAAATGCCACTGTAATTGGTAAATTCTTTTAATACCTGCGCATTTTTCAGAATTTTAAAACATTCGTCTGGGTTTACCTCAGTTAGCTTAGATTTAATCTGCAAACCATGGTTTATTTAATTCTTTGAATAGTTTTTGACTTAGGTCATGTTTATATTTTTTTAAACTTATTTAAACTCTTTATACATCTTTTTTTATTTATTTATTTATCTTATTTTGCTTTGATATTTTAAAATACAAATAAATTTATAACAAGAAAGTTGAAAACATTAATGCCGTAACTTTTATAAAAAAAAAAAATACGATTATTTGTTTGCTTTAAATCATGTTCCCGAACAGAAAATCGAAATCTATCGAACAGAGAGTGGTAGGAATGTTGCTCGGTACTCTGTCGAACAGAGAGTGGTTGGCTATTCAATAAAAATTACTCGTTGATAAAAGATACTTGTTCGTGGTTTCAAGCTGTACTTTAGAAATGGTCAGCAATATTGTGCTGTTTTTAATGTTGACTGTATGAAAACTTGTTTAAAAATACATTCGGACCAAAGCCTTTTTTACTGATATCAAAAAAGGTTTAGCGAAGAAAAGTTATAAGTATCCTTTATTTCACCCCATGCATTACTTGCTATACATATGTATTTATGCTATACATATGTATTTATGATAAAATATATATATGATAAAAAGTAAAATAGTACTCCAGTGCATTATATTATTTTTTTAAAATAGTTTCTTAAATATTCTACGTGTCATACTTTTTATAATTATTTAGTATAATTTAGTATAACTCTATGTGTCATACTTATTTGTTTTTTGCTTTTGGTAATTTAAAATTTAATTTATTTTCAAGAAATTTTAACAATATTATAGTAAAATGATATCTTATAAAATAACTGTTTGCGATGTAAAGATACGACGTAAACTACGGGGTTTAGCGATAAGATTATAATTGTCTTCTTTTGTCCCGTATATGTAAATATTTATTTATACATTTTTGTATAGTAATATATACGAAATACATGCAAAAACAAAAAAATAAAAAAATAAAAATACGGTAGCTGCGGGAAATTATAGTATCTATTAAGAAAGCAGTATATAAAAAACTTCCCGCAGTTACGGTAATTACGACGGCAAAAGATGTAAATTTCCAATTACATCATGATCATTTAGACCCAAAAGATAAATGACTTGTCAAACAATGTTTAATTGAATATTTTTAAATGCAAGACCGATTAGTGTTCATATGCCTTTTGTTATGCTGATTGCTTTATTAATTGATTTTTACTTTGATTTATACGAAGCTAAAATTTTAAGGACGTCCTTTAAATGAAACTTCTTTTTATCTAAACAATTACAGTTTAAATTGTCTTATATATTTGTTTTTTATTGTTTAAAGTTTATAGCTGTTACTATGACGGGGGGACGATACAAAACTCCCAACAACAACTCATTTTAATAACTTTTCATAAAAATTTTATAATAAAAACATAAATATTAAAACAACAGTTAGGGGGCAATCAGAAGGTACATACGGTGTAAAACTATTGACTTGGAACCCCCACCCCACCCCATCCCTTTTTGTACGTATCTGTATATTTTCATTGAACTATTCCCACTGTGTACGTACGCATTATTTATCACAAAATCGAGACCTCCTTTTAGTAAAAATTCAAAGTATTATCCTATTAATCATTAAAATGTTTTGCTATTTTGACGTTTTTATTTAACTAATCATCAATCTCAAATATTATGTAAGGAGAAGAAAAATAATTTCCTAAAAATAAAAAAAGTGAAAAAAGTTTTTTAAAAACTCACAAGAAAGACGATAAAACTGTGTACGTACTAGCCAATGCGTGCCATCATCTCCCTCTAAACTAATAAAAAGTTTCAGTCGTAAAGCATTATGAGATCATAACATTAAATGTTAATCAATCATAACATTAAATGTTAATGAAATTTAATAACTCTTGCAATAGTCTTTTCTCAATAAAAAAAATTGTTTTATAAATAAAAAATTTGAACTTTATATATATATATATATATATATATATATATATATATATATATATATATATATATATATATATATATATATATATATATATATATATATATATATATATATATATATATTTATATATATATATATATATATATATATATATATATATATATATAACTTTATATATATATATATATATATATATATATATATATATATATATATATATATATATATATATATATATATATATATATATATATATATACAGGCCCGCCCAGAGCTTTTGTGATGCCCGGGTCCAAAAGTTTAATGGATGCCCTATCATACATCAGGTCTTAAAATAGCAAATAAATTAATATAGTTTACTTGCAAAATTTGAAATAACTTCTTCGTAATTAACGTTAATGGCTAAATCTGATTCGATTAAAAGGATCATCAAGTAGCACAATCGCTTCTGGTCCATTGTGGAACGAAGATAATCTTTGATGATAGCTAACTTGCTGAAAGATCTTTCTCCTTCAGATATTGAAACGGGCAATGTTAGAAAGATTCTAAGAGAAACACACACTTGCGGAAATATTGAATGCAGCCCCTTTGCATAAACTTCATTTAGAAGTTCGACAGGCTTTTCGCTGGCTAGAATATTTCTTCTTACGGAAAAAAATGCCGAACTTCATCAGAAAATTCGTTTTTACATAAGTCTTCTGGGTAAAGATTAGCCAGATTCTCAGCTTTTAAACCTAGTTCTTGGTCTGTTTGAGATTTCTGTAAAGACCAAAGGAAGGAAAACTTGCTACATTCCTCTTCTATTACTTTAAACCCTGACCTCATTTGACTATTCAGATTGTCGAGTGCAACATTGAAGACATTACACTCAAAGTTTTTTGATGCTTCTTCGTGGTTGTAACCAGCAGTTTCATCTGGGATGATCTTTTTTCGCGTTCTCTTCACAGTAAAGATTATTTTATCAAATTTCAAGTTCTTTGCAACTTCTGTTGCCTCTATCAAAATCAGGTCCCAAGACAGACGGATTCAATACAGATCCATCAAGAGGCCATTTAGAATCTTTACTTCATCATCGAGAGTGAGTTGAGTGGATTGAAACAG